TAAAGATTATAAACAAAATGTGTAATATTCATAAACTTTTGTTGGTAACAGAGCTTATTTTCTGGAGTAATCCAAAAGCCAATAGAAAAAGGGAACCAGGGTAATACTAACTTGGGTTGGCCTACAAAATTACGTCTCAAAATTACGAAATAAATGATTACAAATAGAAATATGCAAAATAAACCCATTAATACCTTACAGAGCAACTTGGTGATTCTATAATTCTATTATAATTTTTTTTTTTTTTTTACAGTAAACTAATGAAGAATGGGAGCTCCTGTGCATCTGCGCACAGACACCGGCGTTCTTAGTGCTGTCAAAATAAAAGTCCTGTTCTTATCAGTTGATGTGTTAATTAAAAAATGCAAATATCGTCAAGGCCAATGTATTGGTCAACCACTAGTTCTGCTTCAGCATTATTTGTGATGTTTGAGCTTTATTTGAATCTTAATTGGGTTATAATGATTATTTGCACCAAAAAGGCCATCCAAAGTTCATTCCATTAAACCCTCTTCTCAACTGCCTCTCTGTTACAGTTACATCTATGACCCCTCAGTCCCTGTAGAAGTTCCTGGTCGGAAGCGGGACCCCACCAGCAGCTCTCTATATCAATCTCACCGATTCCCAGAGGAGGCAGACCACATTCCCAAGAAGCAGGGCTTCCACAACCTAGCATACAGCACCCATCCCAGCCCGACCAAACTCGACATCGACAACAACCACATCAACCGGCTCCATGCTAACATTCCAGGCGAGCAGATCCGATCGAGCCCAGCGGAGGGTGACCCAAGCCTTTACATCCTCCAGCCCGAGGGCGAGGGGATGCCCATAAAAGCCGCCCCCACCTTACGCGTCAATCCGCCCACACAGAACGAGCCGTTGTTGGGAACGGAACCGGGCAAGCGAGAGGACAGATTCCGAGACTCTGGGCTGGGCGGCGGAGGCGTAACAGACGGGACAGAGGGATCGGATGGATATCCCTATGGACAGGAAGATGAAGACGAGGACAGGAAGAGCAGGCTAGCCAGTACTCCGGACACGGCCGATGAGGAGAGTGTGCTGTCTGTGGATATACACACCAGCAGTACGAGCCTGTCCTCAGCAGACACAAAGCTCATGATAGAGGACAGAGAAAAGGAAGAGCCCTCGATCGAGAGAGGAGAGCAAGAGAGAGCGAAAGAGATTGATTGTGTGAGCGTCACAGACTCAATGGTGGCAGAGGCCTTGGCCGCTCTGGATGCGGCGACTGCGGGGGAGGATTCTGAGTGACGTCAGGTGGCTCACTAGTTAATGCTGACTACATGGGAGATTTCCATACTCACTCTCTCGCTCACCCTCTATATTTGAATACAGCCAAATAATAGCGCTCATGAAGCTTTCCTGTAGACAGTCTGTAGGTACTTTTATTTTGAATGGAAAAAATTCAAATGAAGCCTTGATAACAGGAACTGCTGCTTGTTTACACAACAAAAACAAACCACTTATGAGACTTACTTGAGCAAATGAAGGTCATGGACAAACTCAATTCTCAGACCAAACTGAAAGGACTGTTGCGTGATTTTCCTCAGTGCTGTTGTCTACACAGCATCATAATGAAATAAGCTCCATTTCTTATAGTCAAATATTATTTGTGACCCTGGAGCACAAAACCAGTCTTAAGTCGCCCTCAGATTCCAGATTTTCAAATAGTTGTATCTCGGCCAAATATTGTCCTATCCTAACAAACCATACATCAATGGAAAGCTTATTTATATTCAGATGATGTATAAATCTCAATTTCAAAAAATTGACCCTTATGACTGGTTTTGTGGTCCAGGGTCATATTTCTGCTCCATAACATAATGAAAGTACTCTTCTTCTGTAGCAACTGTTTGGAGGTGGGGCTAAATCATTCATACATTTTCTATACAAAGAGGTGGTGAAAAACATAAGCCAGTGTCCTGGTGTGGGGTTACTTCTGTGCTTAATGCACTTTTAGAGACTTTGTATGATTATATGATCAAACTGCTTAATACAGTGAAATCAAGTTTATTCAATCTCAACAGATCAATATGCTATTTCTTGCTTGTTGTTACACTGTGAATACATCATCAATACCCTCATAGAGCTGTAGGATGACATGCGCTTTATTTTTACACATAAATATACAGCAAGAATTGTGGGTGAATCTCATGAAAACATATTTCAACCAAAAATAAAGTGTGAAATTATATTTCGCATAAAATGCACGTTTATTCTGCATTGTAGATGACTGTTTTTATTTTTTTTTTATTAAATATTTAAATGTATAATTACATTATAAACAATATATCTTGAGATTATTACATTACAGTAAAGTTAATTTGAAGGGGAACTGCTTAATGCAAAGCATCTTCAGTGGTAGCTTCATGTATGCCAAATATAATTTCTTTTTTCTTTCGATTTTGAAATACGATCCATTCATGAGATTTCTCCATATATTATATATTTATGCTGTTGTTGCACTTTGTACATTTTAAAAGCAGTAGCGTGTTGAAGAATCAGGCCAGTGATGGTAGTTGATGCTCTATGCTCAGAGGTTATGCTCTAGTCCTGGTTAACTATCAGAGGCCTGATGAAAAGAACCCTGCTAACTTAGCTGTACCGTATGACGCTCATCTCATGCAGACATTTCTATACATTAGTGAAGAAATGTTTTTCAGAAAAATGAATGTAACCCCCTTAATACAAGACATTCTTATTTTTTCTTTTCTTTATGAAGGTCATAGAGTATTTCCAAATGTTTTACCAAGTATGCATTGTTTCGAACTTTATGTATTGGTCAGAATCATTTCTTTTAAACCTGTTAATGAGTAAATGTTATTGACAGGAACTGGTTTTCTAATGACATTATGACTACATTAAGTGCACATTCACAGTGAATACGCTGTTTATATTCCATTCTTTCTGCTTTTACCAGAGGACAGAATTGTCACATGAACCAGGGGAAAATAAAAACAATGTGCTTGATCATAAGACTTGCGATGTAATCTGTTGACATTTCTGTCTTGTGGATAACCATGCCGTAGGGCCTCTTATATAACCCTCCAGCCCTCACTGGCCAGTAAGACGTGTCCTGAAGTGTGTATGACTGCTATATTGTGCCGAAATCCAAAGAGATCAGATATCGGGAATGGTGAGGTTTGTACAATTCTGCAAATACTAAAACACAATTAAGATACAGATGTTATGAACCATTATATTCCAATGACACTTTTAATGAGTGTGAGGATGAAAATAAGCAACCTTTGATTTGCTATAACATCATAGAACCATTAAATGACCCATCCTGTAGAGTCTATTTCAAAATTCATCAGTTTGTCTTTTTGTCTCTTTCATTGTCTGGTTTTGATACAGCAAAAGTAGTTTTATTATTTGTATTCAGTTTTAGTTAAATTGATGCTTTGATCTTTGATTGCTAAAAGCTAAGATTTCTTTTAACAGTACAAGAGGCAATACTGACACCAGTGTTTGGGATAAAAGAGAATCGTATCTGGTTTGACGAGTCATAAACATTTGGGTATCTGGCGTTTAGAGAGCCCTGACTTGTGTTGTTTAGTAATAGACGATAGAAGCCAAAAAGATCAAAGAAATGAAAGGAGCACAGACTTTTATGCCAATGCAAATGTGGTTATTAAAACTCAAAATAATGAGGATTTTTCCTTTTTTTACAAGAGGGTTTTTACAAGTGTCTTCAAAATTTAATTATACACTGCTGTTCAAAAGTTTAGGGTTGTTAAGATTTTTTTTTTTTTATTTATTTTGAAAGGAGGCTGCAATTATTTGATCAAATACAGTAAAACGGTAATATTGTGAAATTATTCATTTAAAATTATTTTACATTTTAAAATACTTTAAAATGTTATCTATTCCTGTGATGACAAAGCTTTTTCAGAAGCCCTTACTCTAGTCTTCAGTGTCACACGATCCTTCAGAAATCACTCTAATAACACCGATTTGGTTCTTAAGGAGCATTTCTTATCAATGTTGAAAACAGTTGAACAAACGGTTGGTGTGGAAACGGAGATACAATCTTTTGTGATGAACAGAAAGTTCAAAAGAACAGTATTTATTTTATAATTTTGTATAATATATTGTGTAATTTTTCTTAAAAAAAAAAAAAAACTAAACACTGACACTAAATGAACAGTAGTGTACATAAAGTATAGCCAATATAGAAAAGCACAATTTGTGAATTAACTAAAAACCTAAATTCAGTTTCCTTGTAGCCAAACACAACTGATCACCACCAAAGGTCCAGCTGTTTCTACATACAGCAGACAACATGAATCTACCCGAATAAATGTGCTGCTGTGTGACTGAGCATTCACATCTCTTTAAAGTCTGTGTGGGCTTGAGTTAATGATTCACAAATCCCAAAACATATCCAGACTAATAATACTCTACAGCTGGTTAACCATTTATATGCTCCAGACTGTTAATGCACATTCTTGTTGCTTAATCGTTCTTTCTTCCTAGAAATATCTTGATGCATAAAGTACGAAAATAGCCCTTAACTCACAAAAACAATGTATGTAATGCACAAAGTCACATACTTTCCAGCAGGTCATGGGTAAATAGGCAGCAGTCACGGAGAGATGGGAAAGATAGGCCTTCAGCATTTGAGTTTTGGAAAATCTACAGACCTGAAGGCCATTAGTGCTGCACCAGTCACCTATTAACAGACTCTTACTGATCTTTAACCTCAGTCCAGCTCTAGAAAACATACTACAGATGCAAGGACCTCTCATGTTTTACTATGGATGAAGGCTCTGTGATTTTACCATGCTGAGAATTTTGAAAGGACACACAGAAGTTAAAAGTTTCTCAAAGCCATTACCTTTGAGCTAAGCTGACCTCAGAGCATTCAGTGTAGCAAATGTGCAAGTACATAGTGTGTGTCCTGATCAGTCTTGTGCTTCAGAATGGAAATGACGTGGCTTGTGGGTAAAGTAGAATCAGAACAACAAGTCCAATGCGTGTTTAATCTTTTTAATGTATAAATTCTGGGTACAAAACTTTCAGTAAAATATAACAGTACATTCTCATTCATTTTATTTAAACAACTCTATATAATTCTTCCAATCCTTCTGTTTAAACATCTTTAACATTTCTTTAATTCTTTTCAATTTCAGAAATGACTACTTGAAGTGACCATTTCTGTACACATTAAGATGTAAGGTTAATATTTCAGTATGAATACCTTTATCTAAAATTTGAACAAGACGGCTATGGGCAACATTTATTTAATTTGTTCCAGCACTTCAAGCTCATGTGCAATGAACTAGAAAGCTTCTAGATATCTTGAGGTCTACCTTTATGGTGTTTGAGCAAAAAAAAAAAAAAGGCAAAAAAATCAGTGGCACAATAATGACAATATTAATAAAAGGCTAAATACATTTTAAAAAAGTAAACTATATTTATTAGAAGGTTTTTTGTTGTTGTTGTTGTTAAAATACACAGAATTATTAAAAGCCCTATATTTAACCAAGGACACTTTTACTTTTTTTGAGGTACCATACATTGTTTTTCCCAAAGATAACAAAAATATTAGGTATAGTGAAGAATACAGTCTTATCCATTATATACGCCTGACATTATAATAATATATGAGCTATAGATTTGAGAGTTTCTGAACTCTGTGGACACATGCAAGCTATAACGAATCATGAAACTAAGAATATTTATCATTTCTAAACCGCTGAGTGCTCGACAGACTGGTGAATTGATCGCAGTGCTCTGTTCCAGACATCACCAGGCAAACTTCCAGTCGGTTAAGGTGCGCTAGGTTGATAAATTAATCTGTTAAACATGCGATTTCACTGGTTTACAGAAAAATGTTGTCAAGACACAATTTAAGTCATTAAAAAAAAACAAAGGTGAAAAGTTGTATTTAGTGAAGAGATCAAACCCAGTCCATTTGAGACGACAACAGGATAAGAAAAACGTTTAGTCCAGATTGTAACCAGTGAGAAATTTCATGGCTCTGTTTTTCCGTGTTTATCACAGCTTGCAATAAAAAAAGAAAAAAGGGAAAAAATTTGAACAAAACTTCCCACTTCCTGGAAGTAGCCCAAAGAAAACCTCCGACCATGACGCCAGGTTAGATTAAACATTGACGCGTTCATAGTCATTAACAAGCACAAATGAAGCCATCCGCCACTGATAGTGACACAAGGATGTCTGAGAAAGATGTGTTGGCATGGTGACAGGTTAATGTATATAAAATGGCTTCTGCTGCCTTTCCAAAACTGAGGAGGGTTCGCATCCATCATCCTCTTTTCCTCCTCCATTATCACATCTCTCGTCATAGTATCTCTCTTAAGTCCTATTTGGAATTGTAACTTCCAGATTAAAAGTTTTTTTTAAATGTCACCTGAGAAGCTGCTGGAACTCTACAGATGTCACTTTGCACTGTCTTCTTTCTCCTAAAGACAAACCATATACAAAACAAGGATAAAAACACCACTTGATTGCTTAACCTGCATTAGGAATGAGAGTTTTTTTTTCCACACTAAAGCCACTCACTTGTGACTTTGGGCCTGTGCTGTGTTCAGGGGGGTCAGCGTTAGCAGGTGAAGGGGGGACACTGCCATTGGGCTCAGTGATCAATAACGTCCGCCTATCCCGGGCCGATTTGGGGTCACACTTTGTCACCCGGAATCTAGAGAAAGAAAGAGAGATGTAACAAGAGCACAAAGCTCAGACCTTAATAATATCCATATTACTCAGTATTAATATTTATCACAACATTAATTTCATATCAATGATTGGGAAGGAAATGGATTTTACATTTTTTTCAGACCTCAAGAAAAGAATGTAAACACAATCTGTTTAACTCCAAATAGTATCTACCTTTTAAGTTACAGCCCCATGAAATAAGATATTTTCTCTTGATTGTGTTTTATGATTCAATAAATATGTATCATCATAAATAGCACCTGACGAAATGAATTCATACAACTTATTTAATCATTTAATCAATCTTTTAAAATGTAATCAAATGAAAATGGAGCAATTAATTTAATTTGTCATTGTAAACTAAACTTATTTTTATTTTTGGTTTATTCAATAGTATTATTCACTTTTAACATTGTACTAACTATAAGTAACTTTGCAACTAGGCTACATGTCAATTAAAATCTCATTAATTTGCAACGACATGTTAAAAAACTCATTAGATTATTAGTAGACTGTTTGGTTAGGTTAGGTTAGTAGAATGAGTTGACATACTAGCAAAGTTACTTAGAGTCAGTAGAATGTCTGTTGGGGGACCATCAAGTGTATCAAAATAAAGCAGATATTAAGCAGACAGTCTGCTAATAGACTAGTGACTGGTAGTTGAGAACTATTTGCAAAGTTACAAAGTTAGTAGAATGTCGAAAGTAGACTTATCAAAATAAGGTGTTACCTTTTAAGTAATTTATTTTAATTTTTTTGTATACACTGTGCTGCACAACAACTTGCATACAGCATCATTTAAAATGTGGATGAAAAATCTTGGTTGTATTATATTCTTTATTATATACATATTATATAATATAGGCCTTTTTAAGGTATTTCCCAATCATAATTTCAAGTTAAGCCAACATTTTATTTTGGTGGTTTGTCTTGAAGACCTTTAGTGAAACAGCAGACACTGAAAACACCATGAGGGTCACGCATGATCGAGTATGTGTAGTACATCCAGACTTTTTAGCAACACCTCTATTCATCTAGCTGAAATATTTACAATTACTCATTATCATTAATATTGTGGATTTATTTTCCGAGAATTATCAATGTTGATATTTAATGCCCAACCCTAACCTCATTGAACCAGCCAGATCTTTCCCACCAGGCTCGTCTCTTTCATCTAGATCCTGACTCATACCTCACATGTAATTCATCATATGTTAAGTGTTTATGCATGTAACACACACCTGCCTACAGACAACACTGTGACTTCTCCTACGTGACTGCGTCTGTCCAGTTTCTTGCTGGATGAGCGTCTCATCAGAGGCCATTTTTTCTGGTTGCAGCGGTTGCAGATGTTCTTATGTCCTCCGATCCCTCCGATGGTGTGCAGGTGGTTGCAGGTGTGTTTGGCAGCGCTGGGCGGCAACCCTGGCAGTGCAGGGCTCTCTGGGCTGGTGGGTGTGTTCGGAGAGGTGGGCGACACAGGGCCACTGTAGGAAATTGAACAGAAAAATATCAGCTTAACTGCATGAAAGTTACATATACAATTGCAGCCTAGTTACATATGCCAAAATTTGGTAAATACAACAGAGAACACTGCGGTGGGTTCTGTGGCCCACAATGTGTTTGACTTGACCTACTCCAAGCATAATAATTTCGAAATGTGTATCATAGCATAATACACACTTTCACATACTATTTAAACAAATTAACTGTATTTTTACTATTGTTCGGACACACAGATAGACTAGGCTTGAAGGGTTAGTTCACCCAAAAATAAAAATACTATCATTAATTACTCACCCTCATGCCGTTCCAAACCCGTAAGACCTTTGTTTATCTTCGGAACACAAATTAAGATATTTTTGATGAAATCCGAGAGCTTTCTGACCCTCCATAGACAGCAATGCAACTACCACGTTGAAGGCCCAGAAAAGTAGTAAGGACATCATTAAAATAGTTCATGTGACACGAGTGATTAAACCATAATTTTATGAAGCTACGAGTATACTTTGTGCGCAAAGAAAAAAAACCCCGACTTTATTCAACAATTTCTTCTCTTCCGTGTCAGGCTTTCACAAGAGTACCACGACACATGCGTGTAGTGCTGCTGACGCAGGAGCTGGTGTTCTGATGCAGAACGTCCATCTCTCAGTTAATCATCTGAATATTCTGGTTCGAATAAGTAAGGCTGGGCAAAAAAATAAAAACAAAGAATAAATCTTTACACGTTTAGAAAGACTGTTGTATGTACAGCATGTGTCATCCTCTGCTTGTAAATGAGGAGCAGCGCATCTGGGTTGTACGTCAGAACACTGGCTCCTGCGTCAGCAGCACCACAGGCATGTGTCGTGGTACTCTTGTGAACGCACGTCGAAGACTGACACGGAATACAAGAAATTGTCAGGGCCTTGAACGTGGTAGTTGCATTGCGGTCTATGGAGAGTCAGAAAGCTCTTGGATTTCATCAAAAATCTTAATTTGTGCTCCGAAAATGAACAAAGGTCTTATGGGTTTGGAACAACAGGAGGGTGAGTAATTAATGACAGAATTTTAATGTTTTGGTGAACTAACCATTTAACCTAATCCTTGTGTTGTGACTCTTTAGAATGAATGTATTAATATCATGATATATTTTTATAACATCTTTTTAAAACTTAAGTAAGCAGCATCACAATTAGTACGTTTGATTAATTATGTGAATATGTCTATTTAAGTGAATAGATCAAAACTTGAACACCAAATCACTGAAGAAGAAAAAAACTGGAAAAAAAAAAGCTTCACCTTTCACAGGTACTATATTTGAGCTGAAATACAGCACAATTGGAGCAGTTACTTTAAAAGACAGACCAACTCTCTCCCCGGCTGCTTTATTTCTCTTCTCCTCTCACCTTCTCCCTCTATTTATTTTGTCCTTCCACTCTGCCAACTAAAAAAAAATAAAAGGGGAAATGGTGCAGTCTTTTCTTATCGGTCTTCATTACACTGCGGGATGTTGTTCTGCTCTGTGTGCATATGCACGTGTGCCTCACTTGAGAAGCAGAGGAAGAGCAGGACAGAGATACTTCAATTGCCACCTGCAAGAGGGACTATGAGGAACATAAAGGAGCAAGAGACACACATGCAAACACACACACTACACAAGAAGTGTATTCATTGTGTTTTGCAATGGAGCTAAAATATGAAATCAGTTAGTTTGATCATTTACTGTATAAACATTGAATTAAAAAGTTATTGTCACTTCAAAGCAAGGTTCTGCAGGCTGCCAAGGTCTCATTAGCTCCTGCTGGTAGATGTCATAACTACACCTTCTAGCTGTCAGTGTTAAGTTAACTACATGTCACTAGTGGAACAAAAATTTTCAGTATCTTGACAGTAGCAAGGCTTCTTTTAACATAGTGTAGCTTTTTCAGTAGCAAGCTATTTTTCAAGTAGCAGTGTAGTGACACAAAACGCTACATATCTATGCTTAGAATATGAAATGAAATGCCCAACTGGCAAAAGATCCATTATTTTGAGTCGGTTCTTTTCAATGAATGTGTTGACCTTAAGCAGATACAGAGATCTGCTGGTCTGGATAGAGTAGCTTTTCCAACACTGCTAGCTGCAAAAAGCATCTTTCTCCACTTTCGATCTTTTATAAGTAACTAAGTATTCTGACAAAATAAATTTTGCAAGCACATACATTGACATAAATTGTAAACTCCACCCCTCCATTCATGAGCTTCACCCCCAGACTCATCTCCCCATGGATGCCCTGTGCACTCAGTAAGTGTCTAGAGAATGGACAGCACATCATCTCCTCTGCAAAATACCCAATCACCCTTCATTCTGAGCACCACTTCTAATTTTCCTCTCCACCCCTTGAGTTCCTAATCACTCCATCCAGAGCTCCTTTCGTCACAGCATCTGATTGCTCTAAACCTTTCACCTTCCCTATGCTCTGCTCTTCTTTTCAGTCTCTCTATGTTGGTCTCAGTCTTGTGTTAAAGACAGTAGGAATCAAATTCACTCTGCTGCTTATACAGTGTGTCAAGCAGAGTGACCTCATTGTTCAACCCAAATCTGTTATTCACATGAATGCTCAGACCAACTGAAAAACATGCACCACACACACACAACATCAAAGGAGGACACCTGGGGAAAAGGAAGGATTAAAGGAATTCCCCAAAATTAGAATTCTGTAACTGTTTACTCACATTCTTGTTGTGCCAAACCCATATGACTGTCTTTTTTCCATGGTACAAAAAAGGGAGACATTTTGTAGAATATGCTGGTTGAGATTTTCCATGTAATAATGGATGATTCAAGATTGTGATTCAAGCCTCAAGAAGGTTTAAAGGGCATGACATGTCACGACATGACATGAGAAACCGAAATTTCCCTTAATCTTTCGATACAGAAGAGGTCTTTGTATGCTTAATACATCCTGCAAGTTTTATAACTTACAATGTCCTCATCATCAATAAAAAACATTTATGTAATATCCCTCAGAAAACGGCTCGTCTTGGATCCAAGGTGCAATGTGATGTCATTTAGTTGCAGACGTTTGCATAAACACCGCCGCCAGAGCAACACATTGACATAAGCCCCGCCCACTGGCATTCAGCCGCTTAGCGGCTTGACACCTGATTATGCTGAATGCGACTGTTGCGTCAAAAGCAAATAAAAATTACAATCACTGCCGCTATCTTGTCTACGCTGGATACTGTATACAGATGCGTGTTCGCTTCCGGATACAGTCCACACACTCGAGTCTGTCGTTAATAGGACAAATGGAGCGAAAGAATGTTTGCTTTGATGCATTTAAAGAGCTCTTTCGCGTCTTTGTACAGATATCAGAAGGTTCCCAGCGTAAGGAACAAGTGGATAGTTTATTTTTAAAGGCATCCTGGATCTTGTCAGAGGACTGTCCGGAGTGTTTTGTTTTGTAAACGAGGCACAGTGTCATGGAGAGTTCACAAAGAAACATTTGTTGAAAGGTGAAGCGGAACTAGATCTGACTGCAGCTGCATCACAAACCGTATGTAAATGATTTCATAATGCTTTGTCTGGAAATGACTCACAATAGCGAGGTGGCGTTGACAGTGTTTCCTATACAATGATGTTAGCCAATCATAACAGTGGCTGATTCCTGACAAGCCTTAAAGGACCCGCCTCTTAAAACGGTTCGTTTCAGAGAGAGGGTTTGAATGAGGGTTGAAAATAATCATTTTTCCACATATTTACTTGTTTTTTTGTGCAAAAAAAAACAACTTTATTAACATTATAAGTAAACCTCAAGGAACATATTAAAATAATTTTAAAAAAAATCCATGTCATGATCCCTTTAAATAAATAAATAAATATTCAGTGAATTGGTTAAATTAAAACGATTCATTCAGGTTCTCTCTCTTGATCTGGTCCCAACAGTTTTCTTTAGTTAAAAGCTCACTGGAGGGGAAGATTATCGGATTATATTAACAGCTGTAACAGTTCAGAAGTTTTAAAATACACATTTAAAACCCTTTTAAGATAGTTTTATGGTCCTTTTGAATTCTAGTGAAGCTTGAAAGCAACCATTAAATTTATCTCCTTTTTGTTCCACTGCAGAAATAAAAACACACGATTCTGGAATGACATAAGAGTGAGTAAATGACAGAAGAATTCTTTTAATCTAGTGACTGATGTGGGAGACTGTGAATTGCATAAGATGAATAAAACAGAGTTAAAATATAACATTTCAGGATGAAGAAACATTCACTCAAGTATTTTGAAATGTTACAGGAATAAAGTGTAGAACAGCTGATATATAGTATATGAGCAATGAGTTCAAAAAAAGTGAAGATCCCTTGAAAAGATTAAAAAGGATCTTAATCTTGATGTCATAGCATATATTATTAGCACCAGATAATTAACGGTCACCTTCTATAAACTGATGTCATGATGCTGATAACATACAGCAACATTTATATATAACTTAAGGTGAGACCAATGCTCAACCCAGACTCATATTCCATGACTTCTCTGTATATGCGGTTTTGAAAGTCTTCTTGGATCTAATTCTGGCTTGCAGCAGTGTCAGTGATTGATGCTTTTGTGCTTCATGGTGATTTCCCCCACTATGTGTCATATGAGACAGACAGAACCACCTTTATGCCTCAATGCTACTCTGCCCTCTTGTGCTGCTGCCGTTATTTGAGAAGTGACAGCGCCATCTTGTGTAAGGGATGGGGCACTGATTCACAAAACATTAATACGCTAACAAAACATTCATGTCTATTGAAACATTCATGTTTGTTTTATAAGTATGCTAATGTGTTTTTAAAAATGTCTTTATATAAAGTGAGGAAAAGTGAGAAAATATCTTTATATAATATATATATATATATATATATATATATATATAGCATTTATATCTTTATTTTTAAGTGAGGACCCAATAGGCTGCTAGTGAAAATACTTCTACTTAGCTTTTTGTTCTGAATTCATATTGAATTACCAACATAATAGTGCATTTAAATATGAATTTTTTATTTTTTTTTTTTTTATATGCCAGCTCAGGACATCAGATTACAGATAGCACAAAATAAAACAAAATTCAGGAAAGATATATACAAGGTCTTACCCCTCCGATTCTATACTGTCCTGAACCATGGCTTTGAGTGCATCGGAGTTGGCTGGAGGAAAAAAAAAGAAAGAAAGAGAGAGTTCATTAAATGACGTCTTAAATTAGCAAAGAGAAGAGTCTGCAGCCTCAGATGCAAAATCATTAAGCAAACTGTTTAGTCTTCTGCCTAATGAAAGCAGCTGACTGCCTTCTGATGCGACTACTACTGCAGCACATACTCACAGTTGCAGTGGACAGAGGGCAGTTTCAGGCCACCATTTAGTTTCATTGTGCAATGGCATCAGGGTAGTTTCAATTTGAAATGCCTTCAAAAAGGCAGCCAACTTTAAAATGTTAATATTTTCACACAGTGGCACATGAATTGTGCAACCACTGGCAATGAAAGTGACTAGCACTAAACTTTAAGTTCCTTCCGTTTACACAAGAACATCTTATCCATTTTAAGAAGTTGACTGCTAGATAACTTAAACCACTTATTGATTAAACGCATCCAATAGATATGCAGAAATACGCCTGTTTCTGAAACGGTAATGTGTTGGTAGTCATGCACAATGACCAAGCAGTGGACATGGTGCAACATGAAAGATGCCACACAAATTTATAAGACATAAGAAGCAGTAGTATCACTTCCTGTTCACAGCTCGTGTCATACTTATGGGGAAGAAACAGTTTAAAATGCTGTTGATCAGATGGTGTCACCATGGAGATCATCATTATTTGTTATTCAAATTTTGTGAATGGGAATTTCTCTTGTGCTGTGTTAGAAGCGATCATGCGCTTTCACTTTCACTTTCCAATTTGCGATCTTGGTGTCACCTTTAGAAGAAAAGATAATTGTCTGTTTTGCTTGTATCTATACACCTTTCACTTTTTAAGACTAAAACAAAAGATGGATTCATTGTTATTCTTAATTAAAAAGCACAACAACAATAAAACAGTAGGCTACAGCTTACATAACGTTTAACAAAAATGAATAAGATGAGGCATGGCATAGCCTACACCACATGCTGTATTATATACCGACTAATAAATTACAGAACATTTAGCAAAAACTGAGGAATCAAAAAAATTAAAAATAAAAATTTAAAGAAATCCTCCATAGCGTAACGTGAAATAAGCTTTTCAAAATGAAAACAAAAAGAAAAGTAAAACTAAACTGGCTGTTGGTGGCAGTGCTTGCATGATTGTTTTTCATGAAAACCAACATGTTCACTTCTGTGGTTTAAGAAGCGGTCTTTCACTTTACTTTCACTTGAAAACCAAATCCTCCACCTGCTATTGTTTCCTAGTTCCTTCCGTTTACACAAGAACATCTTATCCATTTTAAGAAGTTGACTGCTAGATAACTTAAACCACTTATTGATTAAACGCATCCAATAGATATGCAGAAATACGCCTGTTTCTGAAACGGTAATGTGTTGGTAGTCATGCACAATGACCAAGCAGTGGACATGGTGCAACATGAAAGATGCCACACAAATTTATAAGACATAAGAAGCAGTAGTATCACTTCCTGTTCACAGCTCGTGTCATACTTATGGGGAAGAAACAGTTTAAAATGCTGTTGATCAGATGGTGTCACCATGGAGATCATCATTATTTGTTATTCAAATTTTGTGAATGGGAATTTCTCTTGTGCTGTGTTAGAAGCGATCATGCGCTTTCACTTTCACTTTCCAATTTGCGATCTTGGTGTCACCTTTAGAAGAAAAGATAATTGTCTGTTTTGCTTGTATCTATACACCTTTCACTTTTTAAGACTAAAACAAAAGATGGATTCATTGTTATTCTTAATTAAAAAGCACAACAACAATAAAACAGTAGGCTACAGCTTACATAACGTTTAACAAAAATGAATAAGATGAGGCATGGCATAGCCTACACCACATGCTGTATTATATACCGACTATTATAAAACGGAGAGTTCCGGTCCTCGATTCTGATTGTTTGAGCCACGTTCGAAGCTGTTGTAAATTACACTACAAACATACACCTTTGTTTACTTTGTGTGTTGCTTGGCAACCACTTTATTGCAACCACAACTGGAACTACATTGTTTGGTGGAAGAATACTCTTTTTATTAATACCATTACACTTTATTTGCTCCGTTTTATTTTGTGAAACCTTACTACATGTATGAAATAACTGTTTTATAAAAGCAATAAGCCCCGTGAAGCCATGGTTTACAATTAATTTATAACAGCTAAGGGGGTTTTAGGCACTCCGCTTCGCGTCGTGCCTAACAACGCCCCTTAGCTGTTATAAATTCACTGTAAACCATGGCTCTTTGGGGCTTATTGCTTTAATAAATTACAGAATGTTTAGCAAACACAGAGGAATCAAAAAAACATTTAAAATAAAGAAATAGTGTGACGTGAGGTAAACAGCAAAGATAACAAGCTTTTCAAAACGAAAACATAAAGAGAAGTAAAATTAAACTGGCTGTCGGTGATAGGACTTGCATGTTTTGTTTTTTTGTTTTATTTTCCTCACAAGAATACCAACATGTTCATCTTCTCTGGTTTAAGAAGTGGTCTTTTACTTTACTTATCTTGAAAACCAAATCTTCCTTCTGCCATAATTTCCCTCAATATTCGTATCATTTTTGCCACCCATTTCGTGTACAACTGAACTTCTTGTAAACTTTAAAGTTGATCAGATGCAATGTTACGGATGGACTTTACAGCATCTACAGGTGCCAACAAGAAATCAAGATGATTTTTTGATTAATATTGAGAAAATTAATTTTTAAAGAATTTATTTCTTACTCATCTCTGTTTTCTAATTTTTCAAAACTGATCAAGCATTCTGTTTATTTCTAAGAGTAGGTTAGGGACATCAATAGACCCTTTTTTACTAAGGTACCCAGTGAAACACCGCTGTGCAGTCATGTTTTGTGTTTCTATCAGCAGTTTAGAATCAGAACCAGTGACTAGATGAATTAGTACTGATCCAATCACTCAAATGGGTTCGAAAAAAGGTCTGAAATATTTTGCGATTCAGTTTAAATTATTCAGACAGTTTACTCACACACTTAATTGTTTGCAGCGGTTTCTCACACTGATATTTACAGTACCTATAATCCAAAACTCACAAATGTTGTCTATCGTTCACGTGACAGCGATGAAGCAGCCGCATATACAATAAAGATGCAAATATGGGACACTTTTTGAAAGGAGGCTAGAAACGCTCCTGATGCACTTTAGGTAGATTCTGTGGTCACTTAAAGCAGCTGAATATGTTTGAATAAACCTGGGGACCTCATGATGTCTGGTGTGACCTCATGATGATTCACTGCTCTGAGGTCAGCTAAGGATTGTTCATGCTCTGTCACAATCAATTCTGCATTACAATCAATGTGACTGATTGCTTACCACACCTCATATTTCCCTCAGTAAATAAAAAACTCACAAAGACATGTCATCAGTTCTGAGAGGCTTACGTCCTGGAGGGTGTGTCAAACTGCTCATATGACCTGCAACGTATGTACCCGGATACATTGTTTACGTTCAGATCAAAGTGTAAACAACGTATCCGCATACATACGTTGCATACGTTGTTTATGTTATAGGGCTGTCAAAATGGCTGAAAAACTAAATTCGAATTTTTTACTTAAATATTATCAAAATTCGAATTATATTCGAATTTAAAATGTGTAGCATTTGGACCAATCAGACACACAACTTTTTGTTATATTTAACAAATAATATCTAACACCCCCTCACCTAACCAAAGGGCCAATTACGAGGGTCTATGGACCCTTCCCCCGAAATGCATCTAACACCTCAGAAAGGCAGAACAGGCCTCTGGTTCCATGGCAACCAATGCTGATATCACTGGTTTTATTGCCCAAAGGAATGCGGGCAGAGAAACTCACTGATTTTCCTCATAGGAAAGACACATAATGCCCAGAGAAATTGACTGTTCTCTAATTAATTCATAGGAAAAACTTTCTTTGAATGAACACGCATATCCTTCAGGTCATTGAGTATGTTGTTACTGTCCTTGTATATTGTCTTTTATATTGTATACTGTTTTATGCAGGCTTATGATAGAACCACTCGTTCATGTCATCTTACCTATATGTAATCCTACCATGTTTAGTATCTATGAATTCGTCTTCTGATGATCTAAACGAGAGCGCATACTACATGCTGATACCTATGCAACATATTAGTGTTCTAAGAATCTTTACTAGTTTGTGCATCAACACCCAAGCGAATTACATTTGCAAATTACCATGCCCTCACACAAAGGGTCGTAAAACCCTCCAGTAATTGCAACCTCCCGCTTGGGATTTCAGCCTTTCTCATTGGACAAGCCCATCTTGAGAGGCGTGAATCTTCTCAGACCTTAAAGGCCTCACATCAGTGACCCGCCTCCAGTCTGCGGTTTGGTTAGATTCTGAGAAGATCAAAATGTGAGCTACAACGCTCCTAAGGACACCCTAAGTTCGCGCCAGGCTTCGGCCTTGGCTTTCCATTCACCGAGATCCTCTTACTCAAACTGGTTCTTTTTCATCAAACCAACTTCAGCAAAGATCAACTTGAGCCTTCAGATTGCATCAAGCCTCTCTTTCAGACAGACAAGACGTGCAAATATCAAACTTAGTCTTATTAATTGATACATTAAGTATCATTTGCACCTTTTTACAAAAGTGTGTTTGAACTAAGAAACTGATGTTCCCTTCAGGCTGGAGATCTGCTGAATATCAAATGGTACCATAGCTTAATATTTTTATTTCTCTTCTTTTTACTGCCTAAACTTTAACTCCTTTTCCTATACCAACTGTGTGTGTGTTTGTATGTGTATGTTAGACCAGTTTAAGTGTTTATGTAGTATGT